CACTATACCTGTTCCTAAGCCATGGGCATTCCAGGTAGAACAGCCATTTAAGCCCTGTGTAAGTTCCCAATAGCCTCACTTGTATTTAACAGCACAACAAAACGACTCTTACCTGACCTGATGGATTTCTCCAGGAAAGCAGCGAGCACAGCAGCAATTGGGGAGGAATCTCCCTCTGCTGGTGGGGAGGGCTAGGGCCTTGTGGGGAAATCCTGTTGGAAAGAGCCTTTTCCTTGCTCCTGGACCTCTTTAATGTGTACGTCTCAGCTCTTTATGAAAGTGGATGATTTAGGAAGTATAAATGGATGCATTCTGGTGCATCATCACAGCTCAGCTACGCTTCATGGTTCTCTCGCCCTAAGAACGTGGGCTACACGCTTGATCAGCCAAGAGAAGCTGCTGCATCTCCACTGATATATAGTTCAAAAGGTGCGGTGCATAGCCACTGTAACAAGAAAAGGATCAGTTCGTGGCCCCAGGATATTAACATGTTCCTCAAACCACCCTTCCAGGAAAGTTATGACACTAGAGTACTATGCAGGGGTTCTCAGGACAAATTTTTTGGTGGCTTCAGAGTGCGGCCACCAACTCTTGCTGGTGGCCTCTCTCACACTTTCCCCTAAAATACTTAATTAGCTTTAGGAAAAACAAATAATTATGCACATATACATGTCCAAATCATTGTAATTTATTTATTGCTAGCTAGTAAGTCTATTGTAAAAAGTGATATTGTCAAACATAAAAACACAAATTAAGCCCTGGACGGGCGGATCGGGGTAGGCAGTAGGGGCCAGGAGCAATGGAGTTGTGGGGGCCAGGGGATCCAGTGTAGGGCCAGAGACTGAAGCCCCGTGGCCCGTGGGATGAGGATGGAGCCTGAAGCCGTGTGGCCGGAGCCTGGGGTTGGAGCCTGAAGCCCTGCGGCCGGAGATTGTCACCCCACCACCCCGGGGTGAAGCCAAAGCCTGAGCCCTACCACCTCTGGGAAGGTGGGGAACTCACCAGTTGCCTGCTCCTCCAGTCTTGTGCCCCAGCTGTCTCCAGAGAGGGGCTGGGACCATCCCCTGCCTGCAGCCCCAGTAGACAACACCAAGCCGGTGCATCCAGGAGCAACAGGGAGGGGCCGCTGCTTTGCCCCCTTTCCCTCGGTCACAGCCCAGGAGGCTGCAAGAAAAGCCACTGGTGTCCGCATTTGAGAAACGCTGAGTTACAGCAGATCAAACCACATCATAATCTTTGCTAATTATTGTTAGTTTTCAAATTGCAACACATTATGTCTCACATCAATTTCTCCTTTGATTTGAAGCTGATTGAGAGCAGAACAAAATGGCTCAATTATAAAGTTACCATAGCTGGATCTCTCTAAAAATGAGCCCAACTTAATTTTAGCTCTGCATAATACTAAGGAAATCTCTGCTGTAATTTGGCAATCTTTTTAGGATGGTCCTGAGGGTGTAGCATAAAATAAGAAGGCAATTCACTTACATCAGACTTTTTGGTTTGCAGTTTAAGTTGATATATTTGAAATGAAGGCAAGGATTTGTTTAAACCTCTTCTGGAGTGAGACACCCATTTCCAGCGGCTGTGATATCTCAGCACGAAGCAGGGCGCAGGGAGAAGAGTAAGTGTAAGTAGGCTGACATGCTCCATACAGAGATTGTTCAGATTCACCTGGGAATGGTAAAATCTCTTGAAAATGGAAGTAAATAACTACATTAAAATGGTTTATCCTACCTCCCTAGTCCCCCCAAAACATAATGATCTGAAAACTAATTAGTACCACTCCCAGCCCCACCATGCTCCGGCATCCCCACGTTGACTTGTAGAGATGGGGATTGTAGCCTGCAAACCCCACTGAATCCATGGACCCATGGGTCAAAGAGAGGCCAGTCCTTGCTAGCACACCTCTGGAGAGAGCCAGCCTCCTACCTCCTTGGTCAGAAGGATCCCACAAGAGCCACAATTCCATTAGTTATTCTCCCTGCAGCTAGGCACTATTCCCTGTGCCCCAGTGGTTTAGAAGGCTCTTGGGGGAGACCCTAACCCTAACCCTAGACAGATTTCTGAAGGTGCTGTTTCCAGTTCATTTCATATGTGGAAGTAGGAAGCCTGTAAGTGATGGAGGGTAAGCATTGCAATGAATGCCTGAGAAGCCTGGCTTTCTGCTCCCACACGTACACCACACCATATAGCTGTTATAGTCCTCAGACAACCACTCTCGCCCCATCCTGCACTCGCTCCTCTCGCTCTCTTTTTCCCAGACAGTTCAGGAAAGTGGATGGCTCAGAGCATTAGCAATGGGATACAGATCCTTTCACGTCTAGATCACTAGTTTAAATTCAGTCATGGGGCCCACTTCTCCCATTGCAGAATGCAAGCAACTCCCATTGATTTTCAATGAGAGTTCCACTGACTTCAAAGAGAATGAATTACATAATGCAATGGGAGACCAGGGACCAAGGTTGGTAGTGACCCACATTTGTTACCATGTGAGGGGTATTTGGTGGTCATACCCACTTTCCAGCAGACAAACCTCCACCAATGTCAGGACTAGTCGGCCCACTCATTGTCAGTATCTGCCATTGATTGTCTGGCTCTGGAGACTGGGTTATCCTGTCAGCCCTTGAGGTGATCCCATCAGGTCAAGGGTGAGGAAGCTTGTTTTATGGATCTCACATAGGAATAAGCTTAGGATAGCACTGCAAGATGACAGGCTCCACCCAGCAGTAGTTGCTATAGGAATGTGTGAAAGAGATTTCGTTCTCCATGCCTACCAATGGGTCACTTTTCACAGAAAGAACATTGTCTTAAGATTGTCATGGTTTTAGGGATTGCCTCATTTGAACTGGTTGCTCTATGCTGTCCTGATGGCCCAGTGATGGCATCAGACTGTGAAACTGGCTCTTGGCCACTCTGATTGTGTTTGTTGTCTGCAGCAGCGTTTCTGATCCCCTGCTCTCTGTGTACTGTTATGAGACTAGCCCATCGAAACTGTCAATATAGTTTATTCCACGGCACACTTATTCCCTCATTTGCTCCAATGCATTTGAAAATCCTTAAGTATCAAGAGACATGGAATTAAAAAATAACAACCACCAAGTAAAAACAAAGCCATAACAACCAGGGGGCCAAATTCAACCCAGATGCAATTTTGTCAGAATAGCACCAGGGATAGAATTTAACTCACAGCATGTCTGAATCTTGTCAGTTGAAATAAAAGTGCAGCCATTGTAATAACAAATTCTGACTGTGTCACTTTCTCTAGATAAATGTAGAGGAAAATTTAAGGCATCGAGGGAAGGAGCTTAAAATCAGGTGATGCCCACATAATACACGCTGGAGAGGGAATCCTGGCAAGAATTTGATTGTGTGTATCTGTGTGTGTATTACCTATAGGTATAAGTTTGTATATTAGAAATTCACAAGTATTCACAAGTCTAAGTCAAAACATCTAGAATGTTTCACTGGATGCAAAAAAATTCCTTGCAGCAAGATCAGTTTTTGCAATAAACTACATAATCCCAACCCTTTAAGTAGGTGACCATAGTTAACATTCACATTTCCTTACACTTTGCAAGTGGTGAATGAGAGGTCTGATTAAACATGATACAAAAAGAGCTTGCAAGTAGCACTGTTTACTAACATTTCAATTTCTATGCCTCATTTATTAGACTTAGAATAAAAAGGTTAGAGGGGTGTTTGGGATTGTCTTTAACCTTGATGATATTTCCACTGAAGCAGCATAATGGCTCTTAATTGCTTAAGTGAAGAGAACATGTTGACATGTCCTTCTTTGTGCTTAAAGCTCTGTGCCTAAACCATTATGCTAATTCAAGCATTATATACACCAAAGTATTTATGGGACTGACACAAGTGATGTTGCAGGTAAAGGGCTGTGAAATGGTCTGTAAACAGAGAGAATTGATTCCAGGCCCAAAGCAATGCTGTTAAAGTCACAGACATTGAACAGCCAGCCCTACAATTTCTATCCAGATTGTCAAACTGGGTCAGACAGTGTCAGCAGGGCTGCCATTATAGATCAGATGGGTGGTTTAATAATATGTAAACCAACCACATAAATGGAAATTAACGTGGAAGCATTGAGTACCTGATTCTGGCTTTTTTTTTTTTTTTCACAGCCGTTTTGATTACAGAATTCTGAGTTGCAACATTTGCTAAAACATTTAGGTGTAAAAATGTAAATCAGCATTATGGATTGTAATTGTATTTCCCTAAGTCAAGAGAGCAGCACTGCAGCCTGAAGAGATCACAGAAGAATATGTGTATCATTTAAATCTTTGTGCAATAATATAAAATAAAAAAATCCATAGATTTGACCCACTAGTCCTTCAGTATATTTAGTTTTATACATTATCTGCCTTTTCATACTAGGGAGTGAGGTTAATATGTAAAAGAGCACTGTTACTTTTAAAATAAAACAGTTTTCAAATATCATCTTACATGGTTTACTAATAACCACAGACTCTCAAAACTGAAAGAATTTTAGAAGTCTAATTTGCTTCTCATCCTTTTATGCCATTTATTTACTTTTTGTATTTCACTCACATAAATCAATTAAATTAGAAACTTTTTTTCCTACTTATTTTCACTCTAGGTTCTGATGTACTAGCCCAATTCTTTTCTGTTTCGCTTTAAACTGATACAGAGGTATGTTTAAATCTCTCACTCACATCTAATGTATTTTCATTCAAATATTTTAATATATTTTTAATGTCATGAAAACATTTAAATTCATACTCGAATTCATGTGTAAATTGTAAGTTCAGACAAAAATCTTATATTCATAGCTGTTTGTAAGGAACTAGCATACTTTGGACATGATTAAAATAATACTAAATAATAATTAAAAAAAAGATTTTGTAATACCTCTTTCCTTTTTAGAAAAATCTAAATGTTGAACCTAAACTCGTGCGTGTCCTTTGAAATGCAATGTGTTTTGATCTGATTTAGAAATGATTCAGCAAGAGGGATATTTTTGATTAAATGGACCTTGTTGCACAGGAAAAATCTGGACAAGTTGCTGCCTGTTTCTTCAACCTCCTCCTTCACAACAAGATGCTGTTTCTCCAGCAAAGTACACTGCAAGGTACACACCAAGGACATACCTCTTTCCCCCTCTGTGGAAAAGTTCTGTTTCAGTGCTGTTTCCTTGTTCACAGATTTCTGCATTGTTGAGAACGTTATTCTGTAAAAACTGCACCAGACCAAACGACTCAAAGACAGATTTTGGCATCATGCATCCCAGCTTAACATGTCTGCCAACGGGGTTATAATGTTCTGACTGTTTCTTGGACCACTGGCAAATATTTATATGGCACTATAATATATCAGACCTATATGGTGATTGTAAAGAGGTGTCAATATTTGCATATTAAGCCACGAGGTAAATATTTTTAATGGTTCATAGGGTGGAATAGCAGAAATAGTCTAACCCCGGGTTGAATCCCCAGCGCACTTTGGAGTTCCCTTAGACAAAATCTATTCACATGGGAAGGGGTTAATTTTATCCTTGCAATATTTTGAAAAGTAAAATAAATAGGCAGAGGATTTATTCTAGTATAATAATTGAAGGGGACTGATGGTCTTGGGAATACAAATGTGAACTAAGAGATGCTGGAAGGTTCTATACCTATATTTGGGGGCTACATAATAATATATTTGCATATTACACAGTACCTGATTTTTTGCATGTTTAATGCTTGAAACAAATATTTCTTAACTGATCAAATATGTTGTGCTTGCTCTTTATTAGCTACAGGTTGCAGGACATCTTTGACATAAGATTTTTAGTGCCATGATGAAATTGAGGCAAAAATGTCACAAATACAATCTTTCCATAGGTGATCGTTCACTTCCTGTCCCACCCCATACCGGTAAATGGAGAGGTCTACAAAAATGGAGAAATAAAACAACAAAATTGAACCAGACACTTTAAAAACTTCATACAGTGATTGGTTGAGGTCAGTTTTAATGAGACTAATTTGCTTATATGATTTAGTATTTAACTTTACATGATGTGCACCATAGTAATATGCAATACCAACCTGGTGCAATCAATAGCATTTCAGTTCCTGTTATTAATTGGACCATACTTGAAGGCAGGGTGGAGGTGAGTCATGGGAAGTGTGGAAGTAGCAAGAGCTGAGTGTTATGCCCAGTCTCCTAGGATGAGCTCAAGGCCAGCCACCATCCCACTGACTTGTCTTTCCTAATGGATCACTCTGAAGGAAACATTTTGGTCTAGAAGATTAATCAGCTGCCTTGGTTGAGGAAAGAGAAGAACAATGTATTTTCAGGACAAACCAGAATGACTCTGAAAGGCTTTTGACTTTTCTCCTTGCATATGCATCTCCTAAATGTAAATCCATAGGAAGGAATACAGAATTCTGGAAACACCAGGGGAGTTACCTCCTGGAAATGCCTCCTGATGCTCTCCTCAATGAGGAGAGGTTTGGGAATTCATATAGGGAGTGGTGGGTGAAATCTGGGAAACTTCTATAACCCAGACTCTGTGAATAACCCAAGATCCATCCAAGCAGGTCCCAGGACAGTGGTCTATATTGCTCCCTGAAATTCCCCTGCTCCTGCCAGTATGAAGCCTCAAGAAACTGTTCTTTCACTGGTTTTCCCTATCATACATACTCCCTGT